GTTGACACTGCGCTGTTGACACTGCGCTGTTGACACTGCGCTGTTGACACTGCGCTGTTGACACTGCGCTGTTGACATTGCGCTGTTGACACTGCGCTGTTGACACTGCGCTGTTGACATTGCGCTGTCGACACTGCGCTGTAGACACTGTGCTGTCCGACACCCCGCCTCATCCACTCTCCTCCTCCACCCTCCTCCTCCACTCTCCTCCTCCACACTTCTCCTCCACTCTCCTCCTGTATTCTCTTCCTCCACTCTCCTCCTCCACTCTCGTCCTTGACTCTCCACCTCCTCCTCTCCTTGGTCTGTATTTTTCTTTCTGGTTTTGTTGTGGTTTTTCGGTTTTTTTGATCGTGAATGAATTTCTGTCTCTTATTCTTTTTTTCTTTTCTTTCTTTTGTCTTGCGTTTTGGCTTTGTTTATTGTTCCCTTTTTTGGTGTTTTTTGTCTCTCTCCCACTCTCCTCCACCGCTCTCCCCCTCCACTCTCCTCTTCCGCTCTCCTCCTCCATTCTCTCCCTCCAGTCTCATCTTCAATTCTCCTCCGCCAGTCTCCTCCTCCTCTTCCCCCGAGGAGGAGGAGGAGGGGGGGAGGAGGTGGAGAGGAGGAGGATTAGGAGGGAGGAGGAGGAGGAAGAGGAGGAGGAGGACACTGCGCTGTCGACACTGCGCTGTTGACACTGCGCTGTTGACACTGCGCTGTTGACACTGCGCTGTTGACACTGCGCTGTTGACACTGCGCTGTTGGAATTGCGCTTTTCATTATGCTTTGTTGACAATAGCGGTGTTGACCAACACTGCGCTGTTGACACTGCACTGTTGACACTGCGATGTTGACACTGCGATGTCGACACTACGCTGTTGACACTGCGCTGTTGACACTGCGCTGTTGACACTGCGCTGTTGACACTGCGCTGTTGACACTGCGCTGTTGACACTGCGCTGTTGGAATTGCGCTTTTCATCATGTTTTGTTGACAATAGCGTTGTTGACCAACACTGCGCTGTTGGACACTGCGATGTTGACACTGCGATGTCGACACTGCGCTGTTGACACTGCGCTGTTGACACTGCGCTGTTGACACTGCGCTGTTGACACTGCGCTGTTGACACTGCGCTGTTGACACTGCGCTGTTGACACTGCGCTTGCTGAACTGCGCTGTTGACACTGCGCGGTTGGGACACGTTGCGTGTTGGACACTGCGCTTGTTGGAGCACGTGCGTGCCGCTTGTCATTTTTGGTGCGGGTTCTGGTTTGTTTTGTTTTTGTTTTGTTGTGTTTTTAAGCTATTTGTTTCGTGCGTGTTGGACACTGCCGCTGCTGTTGGACACGTGCGCTGTTGGACACTGCGCGCTGTTGGCACATGCGCTGTTGGACACTGCGCTGTGCTGTTCGACACTGCGCTGTTGACGCTGCGTTGTGATGTTCGACGCTGCGCTGTTGACGCTGCGCTGTGCTGTTCGACACTGCGCTGTTGGACACTGCGCTGTGCTGTTCGACGCTGCGCTGTTGACACTGCGCTGTTGACACTTTCGCTGTTGGTACAAGCCGCGCCGGTTGGACACTGTGCCGCTGTTGGACATTAGCGCTGTTGGACACTGCGTGTTGACACTGCGCTGTTGACCCTTGCCTGTTGACAGCTGCGCTGTTGAGTCGCGGCCATTGACTACATGGGTTGGTACCCGCCGCTGTTGACCAAGTTCACCATTAAGGACTGTTCTCGCGGGTGGGGTCGCCCGTGGGCGTCGTTGTTGGGTGCGCGGGTGGGTCGCGAGGTGGGTCGCGGGTGGGTCGCGGGGTGGGTCGCGGGGTGGGTCGCGGTCGTGGGTCGCGGGGGTGGGTCGCGGGGTGGGTCGGGGATGGGTCGTGGGGTTCTCGCGGGGTCGCGCGGGGGGTGGGTCGCGGGTGGGTCGCCCGTGGGTCGTTGTTGGGTCGCGGGTGGGTCGCGGGTGGGTCGCGGGGTGGGTCGCGGGTGGGTCGCGAGGTGGGTCGCGGGTGGGTCGCGGGGTGGGTCGCGGGGTGGTCGGGGATGGGTCGTGGGGTGGGTCGCGGGGTGGGTGGCGGGTGGGTCGCAGGTGGGTCGCGGGGTGGGTCACGGGTGGGTCGCGAGGTGGGTCGCGGGTGGGTCGCGGGGTGGGTCGCGGGTGGGTCGCGGCTGGGTCGCGGGGTGGGTCGCGGGGTTTGTCGCGGGGTTGGGTCGCGGGTGGGTCGCGGGGGGGGACGACGTCAACAACAACAACAACAACAACAGCAACAGCAACAAGAACAACAACAATTTTACTTAGTTTAAGATTGTTCGCTCTTATCTGTTCGAGTGTCCAATAACGCGTATTCCCTAAACCATCGATACCCGCCCTCTTCGTCGTCGATCGAACCTTCTTTGGGGGGTATACCTTTCTCCCCTGCAGGCCGGGCCCCGGCAAGCGGCGGGGCGGCCGCGGACCGTCGGCTTGGCCAGCGGCAGCGCTGATCGGCAGGGCGGCCGCGGACCGTCGACCCGACCCCACGAGGGACGGACAGGGGGCCGACCACGACGACGACGACGTCGACGACGACGACGATGACGACGACGGCGACGACGACGACGAGCGAAAGCGAGAGCGAAATAAAACGACAGCAGGGCCACAAGGACACGAAGTAGGCCACGAAGGGCGACAACGGGGACACGAAGGGAATGCGTATGGGGCCACGAAGAGCGCGAACGAGCGGGGGCCACGAAGGGCACATAATGCGGGGCCACAGAAGGCAACGATGGGGCCATTGAGGGCAGCAGCGGGGCCACGAAGGGCAACGAGGGGGCCACGAAGGACGACAGCGGGGCCACAAAGGGCATGCACATGGGGCCACCACGGGCGCGAACGAGCGGGGGCCACGAAGGGCATACATATGGGGCCACGACGGGCACCGAGTGGGCCACAAAAGGCTGCAACGGGGCCGCGAAGGGCAGCGAGGGGTCCACGAAGGGCTGCAATGGGGCCACGAAGGGCTGCGACGAAACGAAGGGCAGCGAGGGGGCCACGAAGGGCTGCAACGGGGCCACGATACAAAGCGAGGGGGCCACGAAGGGCTGCAACGGGGCCACGAAACAAAGCGAGGGGGCCACGAAGGGTTGCAACTGGGCCACGAAGGGCAGCGAAATCCCGATTCCTAGGTAATACGTCAGGGAGTCCTAAGCGTGAGCGCGGCTCCTGGGCGCCTGGTTGTCTGGAGCGCGGCTCTTGAGTAAATTGCTGGAAATTCCAACGCAAGGGCGGTATTCTTCAGTAGATCGCGTGCAAGTCTCCAGCGAGAGCGCGACTCCAGAGCGCCAGGAGAGCGATTCTTCAATAAATTAAAAAGGGAGTCCCAAACGAGAGTGCGATTCCTGAGTCACATGCGAGGAAGTCTCGGGCGGGAGCGGGGATCCTGGCTAAATTGTAAGGAAGTCTCAAGCGGGAGCCGGTGTTGTTGCAACCCGGGGGCCAGGGGCCCAGTTTGATCTGCAAGACTTCCCTTGGAAACAAAAAAAACCAGGTGCGAGCGTCGAAAGGTACACTTTGATTGAGAAAACTCCGTATGCACCGGTGGGGGGATCAACCATACTTATTCTTCGGAAGTGAGAGTTCAACAACAACAACAACAACAACAACCAAGTTACGACAACAACAACAACAACAACAACAACAACAACAACAACAACAACAACAACAGCAACAACACCACCAACAACAACAACAACAACAACAGCAGCAGCAGCAACAACAACAACAACAATAACGCAAATCACATAAATTCCACCACGGATCCCCCTTCAGCCGCGCACCCACAGACATTGAATGACCGTTTGGCCCCCTCACTCTGACGAGTGCACACGAAAGGGCGTCTCCCTTTTGGGCGTGCTGCCGACTATCGTTCAACATTTGTCATTGGACCCTTTTCTGGGGACACCCGACGCGGTTTTGCACCCCGGATCGCGTCTCGGGGCTCCGGGCCCCGAAAACGGGCCCCGGAGGCCGAACATTATGACATACCGCCTCGAACCGAACCTCGTCTGCCGCCTCGAACCGGAAGTTCGAACCTCGAAGTTCGAACCTCGAAGTCCCCCCCTCGCTCGCTGCCGATTGCGATTGCGAGGCGATCGCGTCGGCAAGCTTCCGCTGGCTAAGCCGCCCTCGTTGCTCTTCCGCCAATCCTCCGCCCCCCTCCGCCGAATAGGCGTTGTCCACCTCTCGATGACGAGGCTCTCTCTGGAGCGCCCTGCCGTGGGTGCCTTTTTCTAGAGTCCGGCAAGTTTACTTGCATGGACGCGGGGGCCTGAACCTGAAGCAGACCGCAAACGACTTGCACGTGCGGAGATGACGCAAGACGGGAGGCACTTGCACGCCAGTTTTTGCTTGAGAAGGAACGAGGGGGGGGGGGGGGGGGGCGAACGCCATGCAAGTAGACTCGCTTGAACAAAAAAACAGGCTTCAGCGAGGTGAGTGCCCAATGGCGATGCCGAACAAGGGTGCCTTGCAGCAGTGATCGTGCCCCTCTTTTTTCAAACCCGCGCTCTTCCCCTCCGTTCTATAGGCCTCCCAGATGGGGTCGGAAAAGATGGGGTCGGTGGATCGCGCCGCATCGCCGATGCATCGCCGATGCGGCTCGATGTGCAGCTCGATTTGCTCCATGTCGACGTCGCCGATGCATCGCCGACGTCGACGATGCATCGCCGGTGCGTCGCCGATGCATCGCCGATGCATCGCCGATGCATCGGCGATGCGGCACAGTCCTCCGACCCCATCTATTCCGCCCCATCTTGGAGGCCTCTATCCTTATGTTGTTCCAACCTACTTTAGCCATGATCACGAGAAAGAATTTCGAACCCTCTAACAAAGTACCGAAACTCAAGGGTTTTCGCGTGTCGGGCCCTCTGTTTCGACACTTTTCTGGGCGCTCGAAATTATTTCTGGGATGTGGTCCTCCACGTACGACGGGAGCAACTTAACTCGTACCCACCGCACACGTCCGTGCGATGGCGAGGAGACGCTGGAGGCCCTCTCGGCGGAGTGGGGCGCCGGCCCCCTGCGCTCCGTGCGCCTGGTGGACCCCCTGTACGCGCGGGGGCGGCGGCGGGCCGCGGGCTCGCAGGGCGTGGGGCGTGCGCTCGCGGCCTTCGCGGCCTGGTTCGCGGGCACGCCGGTCACCGCCCACGGGGCCCTGGCGCGCTGGGAGGAGCCCCGCGAGGGCCCTGAGATCTCGGCGTCTCATGTTGTCCGAGCCGGGCGTTTCTCGCCGCGTTTCTTCATAGGCCCCCGGACCTTGCTGCAGGTCGATGCGGCTCGAAAAGTGGCGCGGGAAGAGGGGTCTAGCGCTCCGGTCGTGGTCTTTGACGACGTTTTGATTTTCTCGCGAAGTCGGATCGCAGGTAAGGATGTTCGAGGTTCGAGGACTGTGAGGTTTTAGGCCTCCCAAATACGGTCTGAGTAGATAGTGTCGGAGGGTCGCACCGCATCGCCGATGCATCGGTGATGCGGCTCGAGGTGGAGCCCGATTTCCTCCACGCCGACGTCGCCGATTGGATCGCCGATGCGGCGCGATCCTCCGACCGCATCTGCTCGGACCCCATTTGGGAGGCCTCCATAGGCTTCGGGCTGTGCACAGACAGCCCCCCTCAGGCAGTCCAAGGCTGGCCACGACAGGGGCCCCGAGTAGTCCCAGCTGGCCTCAACAGGCCCCCCGAGTAGTCGGGGGCGGTCTCAACACCCTGGTGCCGCCTCTGGCGTTGCCCCTGGGGCACTGCGCTCCAGGGTTCAGGTGCTCAGACCAAACTCTCGAGGCAAACCCAACCGAGGCAACGAGAGTCTTCTAGGCGGCCCAAGGGGGCGAAAACGAGGGAAGGGCAGCGCTAGTTGTACCTTGTCTTCCTTTGACTGGTCGATCCCTCGAAGGGGCCTGCTGAGGCCAGCTGGGACTATTCGGGTTGCCTGTTAAGGAAAGCCTGGGACTACCTGTGGGGGCTGTCTGCACGCAAGCCGAAGCTTTCCCATGCGAAGTGGTGGTGGAGAGGGAGGGGGAGAGGCGGAGACGGAGGCGGCGGCCGAGGCGGAGGCGGAGGGGGAGGGGGCGGAGGAGGAGGAGGGAGGAGGAGGAAAGGAGAACAAGGAGGAGGAGGAGGAGGAGGGAGGAGAGGAGGAGGGAGGAGAGACGAGGAAGAAGGACGGAGACGAGGACGAGACGGAGGACGAGGAGGAGAAGGGAGGAGGGAGGAGGCGGACAAGGACGAGGACGAGGACGAGGAGGAGAAGGAGTGAGAGAAGGAGGAGGAGGAAGAGGAGGAGGAGGAGGAGGAAAAGGAGGAGGAGGAGGAGAAGAAGAAGGAGGAGGAGGACGAGGGGGGGCGGGGGGGGAGGCGGTAGGAGGAGGAGGAGGAGGACGAGGAGGAGGAGGAGGAGGAGGAGGGCTCTAGAAGTTCCAGCAGCAGAGGGCCCGAAGGGCTCGTGGCCCCCCGCGGCCGCCCGCGGCGAGGCCAAGGGCGGCCTGGGGCCATGGCGCGCCCGGGGGGGGGGCCGTTTGGGTGCAGCGGCTGGCCCGCAGAGGCCAGGACAAGAAGAGGCTGCAGAGCCAACCCGCCCAGAGCCCGTCCTTCCAGATCGAGGCAAGCTCGGCGATGCATCGGCGACGTCGGCGTGAAGCGAATCGGGCTGCACATCGAGCCGCATCGGCGATGCATCAGCGATGCAGAGCGATCCTCAGACCCCATCTGCTCCGACCCCATCTGGGAGGCCTACAGAACGGAGGGGGAGCACGCGGGATTGAACAAAGGGGGCTGCAAGGCACCCTTGTTTGGCCTCGCCGTGGGGCACCAACCTCGCTAGAGCCCTTTTTTATTGTAAAAAAGTATTATTATTATTTTGATAATATATATATATATAATACTTATATAGGTGTATCTCTCTCCTCATGTATTCCGACAATTTCATTTGCATGGCGTTGCCCCCCCCCCCTCGCCCCTCTCCAAGCGAAAACTATCGGGCTGACCCAAGAGGGTGTCCAGCTGAAAGGGGATGGTGCAATAGATCTGGTGTAATTGATTTGTGAGGTTGCAATACATTTTGGGGCGTGCAATACATTCGGGGGCGCAAATGTACTGCTGGATTCCCGCGTGAAATCTATTACTTGCAATACAATGCAATACTTTTCTCCGGCGCAATACGTTTGCAATACAACTGCCCCAAAGCTATTGCACCACCCCCTTTCAGCTGGACCCCCTCTTGGGTCACCCAAAAACTAGCGTCCAAGTGCCTCTCGACTTGCGTGATCTCCCATCTGCTCCGACCCCATATAGGAGGCCTATAGAATGGAGTTGGAGGGCGCGGGTTTGAAAAGAGGGGGGCACGACCACTGCTGCAAGGCACCCTTGTTCGGCCTCGCCGCGGCGCACCAACCTGACTAGAGCGTGTTGTTTCTTATTCAGGCAAGTTCACTTGCATGGCGTTGCCCCCCCCCCCCCCCCCCCCCTCGCTCCTCTTCAAACAAAGACTGGCGTGCAGGTGCCTCTCGACTTGCGTGATCTCCGCACGTGCGTGTCGTTTGCGGCCTGCTTCAGGTTTAGCCCCCCCCCGTTCATGCAAGTATCCTTGCTGGAGTTCGAAAAGAATAGGCTCGTAGTAAGGATGGGCAGCCTTCCCAAGGGTACCACTTGATCCTTGCCTCATCGGTCCATCCTTGGCGACTTTCCTTGGCCGCGCCCCGCCCGCAAAGATGGCATTCCAAGGCCCTCGCATCCTTATCGCGCAACCTTCTTATACGGTGAAGTCGGGCCTGTTCTTCTGCAGGGGGAAAATCCAAGAACAGTCAAAACATTGTCTGGGGACGAATTTTGCATATTTTGGTATATGTTTGGACATGTTTTGCGTGTTTCATTTTTCGTTCAAAATCCGCCTGTAGGGGGACATGCCCAACCTAATCATACGGGTTGGCTGTACGGTGCGTGTCGTGTCGACTGGCGCCAGTCCCGGCGCCTCCGGCGCCGCCCTTGGCGCGCTCCGCGCGCCAGGGAGTCAAGCAGTGGCGAAGCGTTCTGTTTTGCCTATAGGCCCACCAAACAATGTTCTAAGAATTTCTTTTGGCCTGCACGAAATGTTATTAGAACATTTCTGGCTGGGGCTGTCTTGTTTTAGCACATCGGCTTCATGTTCTGAGAACTTTGCTGTTGTGTTTCGTACATATTTGGGTTCTACGATAATTCCGTGCTAGGCATCTAGGAATGCCGGGACGGTCGGGTTTTGCCCAGGGGAGGGGGGTCCAGCAGATCCAAGGATGCTTGTCGTTTTGTTTTCCTCCGGTGAGGGCGCTGGTTAAGGAATGGGTCCAGGAGGCTTCAGGCATTGCAGGGCCCCACATCTGATGAGGGCGGCGCCGCCCCTGGCGCGGAGCTCCACAAGTTTATGCTTACGTCGTTGTTTCACTCTATCTGGGGGGTTTAGGGTTTAGGGTTTGGGTTTGGGGTTTAGGGTTTAGGGTTTAGGGTTTAGGGTTTAGGGTTTAGGGTTTAGGGTTTAGGGTTTGGGTTTAGGGTTTAGGGTTTAGGGTTTGGGTTTAGGGGTCGTGTCCCGTCGACCCGTCCCGCGGCGGCCCCGCCGCCGGCGCGCAGCGGCAGACGCCGCCGGCGACCCAGAGTCGGTCGATGTTCAACGATCTGACTCTTCGGAAACGGCCGATCGTTCACGTGAAGCTCGGGTCGGGGAAGGGGGGGATTGGGAAAGGGGGGGTTACGAAATTTGCTGCATGCAGCTGGTTTCGGCCTCACCGAGGGGCCCATTCCTCGATACATGGGCGCCTCCCGGCGCTGGGAGGCGCCGGGAAAATCAGCTACGTGAGCTGATTCTCAAACCCCCCCTTTGCTATCCCCCCCTTTCGCCCGACCCGAGTGAAGCGAGATCCCCGCGGTGTCAGGAACCAGCGCCGAGGTCGGCGCGATGCGAACCAGGACATCTGGCAAGTCGGGGACACGACACCTGTTCCCGCAGAGTCGGATCTGGTTGTCCCGTGTATGTTTCTGCTGGCTGCGCTGCAGGATTCGGGGCTTTCGTCTGGGTCGCAAGGGAGGGGGCGGCGCAGGCTTCCAGAGGGCCTCTCTTCGGAGTTCTGCCCGGAGTGTTGCACTGCACCGTTTTTTGACGTGCCGCCGCTTGGAAACCAAACTGTTTGGAGCGGTGTTGGATGTTTTCGTCTAGCGTGTCTGGGTTCACGGCTCTGTCCCCCCCGTCTGTTAATTCAAGCTTCGCGCGGCCCGCTTAGCTTCGACTGGAAGAGTTGCGTTCTCGACCCACGGATCAAAAAGGTGTCTGGGTCCACGTGTCCTTGTCCTCGGCATGGGGGGATTCCAGGCCGCCTTGGCGATGCATCGGCGATGCGGCGCGGTCTCTGCCCCCGTCCATCTCGACCACGTTGGGGCGGCCTCCGGGGATGGGTTCGGGGCAGACCTGCATCTACAGTGGAGGCCCATGCCAAGAAACACCCTGCTTGCCTCCGATGGGGGCCTGGGGCCTGGTAACCCGCCCAGGTGCGCAGGCACGGGGCGGGGCCTTCTCATAGGAGGCGGGCCTTCTCGGAAGCCCCTGGCGCCTCCAGAGAAGTTTCTTGCGCCTTCTTCGAAGAGTCGACGCCTTCTGGGATTATGATGTTCCAACCTACTTGAGCATGGACCATCAGAAAGAACTTCGAGCACCAGGAAAGTACCGAAACTGGAGGGCTCTCACATGGTAAGCCCTGGGGGGCGATACTCGCCCGACACTGTTTCGATACTTTTCTGGGTTCTCGACATTATCTCTGGAATGTGGCCCGTGAGTACGATGGGAACAACGTAGTTCTATGAAGGCCCCCGCTGCCTTCCCCTGGGCGCCGCCAACGCTCATTGCTGGTAGGGGCCTGGTATAGCCCACCCCTCGCCTGGGAACGTGCGGTTTGTCGCCATCGGGCGCTTACGGCCGACCTGTCGGCGACGTATCGCCGATTCCAGGCTGACGCGTCCGCCCCTTGAGCCAGGCCCCCCAACGAAGCGAGTCAATCATCGGCGCAGCTTGCGATTTCTCCCAATGGAGACGCGGCAGCACTGACTCCTCCTGAGGAGCTGCAGCAGCGATAGCAGACTTCAAGCGGCCGGCCCCGAGCCGGTCCCCCCGCCATCGTGACCCTGGGGGGGGCCTCGGCAGGCGGTTCTATATGGATACGTTTAGGTCGGACCCGTCCCTCTACAGGAGGGGGTTTTCCAGAAGTAGTCAAAACATGTTACGGGGACGATGTTGTTCATCATTTTTGTATATTTTGGGTTTTTGTTGACTCGCTTGCAAAGTGTCGCCCGGAATCAGCCAGTATGGGGACATGCCCGATCTAACTCTATATATATATATGGTTACGGGGCCCGAGTGTATCCACATCAGCCGCACCCCATGGGGTCCCTAGGGCGCCGGTCCCCCAAGATGGGTCCGAGGGCTTTGGTTCCCTTTTGGTGGTGGGCATGGATGTAACCCCGCCTCGCCACCGTGCCTACGGTGCGTCTCGTGTCGACTGGCGCCAGTCCCGCCGCCGGCGTGCCGCGCCAGGGAGTGAAGCAGTGGCGAAGCGTCCTGGTTGGCATATAGGCCCACCAAACAAGGTTCTCAGAACCTTTTGTGGTTTGCACGAAGTGTGCCTCGCCACCGAGCCCCCGCCGCCCCCCCCGAGAGGAGCCGTGCTCCGGCGGCACCGCGCCCGTGGAGCGCCTGGTGCTGCAGCTGGACTGCCCGGACGTGCTGACCGCGTCGGCGCTGGGGCTGCTGGGTCCCGGCGGCCGCCTGCTCAGCCTGCTGCCCTGCCTCGGCGGCGCGCGGGGGTGGCCCCCACTCGGCGGCGCGCCCTGAGAGGTTCGCTGCGGACTCCTGGGAGACCCTGGGCGGCGGCAGTGAATCTATAGGGCTCCTAGCACATTCGGGGGAGGGAAAGGGTATCCACACCTCTACCCATCGCCCGTTTTTCCGTTTTTCGGCCTCCTGGGAGGCCCTCGTCGCACCGCTGGATTCGCGTCGAAATCCTAGTCAGAATGCATCCTGGGAGAGGTTCGGGGAGTAGCGGTATCGGTACCTTTTGGCTTACCCATAGATGGGGCCGGAGTAGAGGGGGTCGGAGGAGCGCGCCGCATCGCCGATGCATCGGCGAGGTGGCTCGATGTGCAGCCCGATTTCGTTCACGCGGACGTCGCCGATGCATCGCGGGTGCATCTCCGATGCATCGCCAATGCATCGCCGAGGCATCGCCGATGTATCGACGATGCTGCGCGATCCTCCGACACCATCTACTCCGACCCCATCTGAGAGGCCTCTATTGAAACTAGCGCTTCCCGCAGTCGAGCCGCATTTGGCCACTCCTCCTGCTCCTCCTCACCCCTCCTGCTCCTCCTCCCCCTCCTCGATCTCCTCGTCTCCCTCGTGGATGGGCGAATCTGGTCAAAATCTGGTTCCAAATGTAATCCAAATTCGGTCTGCGGCGCGCTGGGGGGTGGGGTTATTAAAGCACTCTGAGATTCTAGGAGGGTGCTTTGTATCTTCAGGCGAAAACGGGCGTGACCGGGGGGGGGGGGGGGCGTGACCGGGGGGGGGGAAGTTTTGAAGTCGGCGGGTCTGAGGTGGCCCACCACTAGTTCTGGCCAGCAGGGAGGGGGGGCAGGTTCGAAGTGCTGTGGTCGAACATGGTTTCGTGCTCTTTCCGATTTGGGAGCGTGAAAAACAGATCCGGGGTGAAAAACTACGCCATTGCGAGCCACAAGAGGAGTCTGGGGACTGACTTCGAGCGGATTTGCCTTCATCCCCCCGTCTTGACCGATCTTCTCGGGGCCCAGCCAGCTCAGACCCCCTGGCCGCCTCCAAGTCCATTTTTGAGATGCTAGGGCTTCGCGCGTTTCCATTGGCTACCGGCAGTTCTCCAGCCTCGGGGTACCCTCCAGCAGCTGCGCCTCGTCGAGGGCGTTCGGGCCCGGATCGTCATCGTCTGGAACGGCCGCGCAACAGGCCCCAGCTATGATCCGAAAACCACCAGCAGTGAGGCGGGAGCCCTCTCAAGAAGGTACATCCCTGGTCGGAAACCGGCCCTAATTGGCTGAATCCCGATTTATCCGGCGCAATCCCGCTGAATCCGGTTTCATCCCGCTTCGTCGGGCTTGATCAGAGCGTTCCAGAACGTTCTCAAAGCGTTCAAGGAATCTCTGAGAAGGCCGCGACGCCCGAGGCATCCTCCGTAGCCGCCGGATCTCAGAGATTCTCGATTCACCATCACCCGAATGCCAAGGGAAGAACACAGCACCCGGACCCGAGAATCGGCGTTTACTCAACGGCCCTGGGCGTTTACGAAACAGGCCTGCCTTGCTCACCTCCTTCTGTGGGCTGATGCGTTTACGAGAGGGCTTCGCATGTCGGGGTGGTTCTCATGAGGGTGGATCTTCTGCTCTCTGGAGTTCGCCCCCGCCTCGGCTTCGTCTTGGCTGTCGCGTCGCGGCAAGCCGCGCACCCGATGGGCCACTCCTGCCCGGGGGGTCGCTCCCGCGGCGCGGCCGGCCGGCGACCTCGCGGAGCGCCCCACGCTGGCCATCGCGGAGGTCTGGGGGCGGAGCGGTGCTCTCAGGGGAGGAAGAGGACACCGCTCTACTCGAGTGGGGCCTGTCTTTCTACAAGATTATTCGGAAGTGGGGCCCTCGTCGCCACCGCTGGATGCGCCTCGAGATTCTGGTCAGAGCGCACCCCAGGAGAGATCTTCGCGTCGTCGTCCCCTTCTTGTTGGGGCCTCCTGGGAGGCCCTCGTCGCCACCGCTGGATGCGCTTCGGGATTCTGGTCAGAGCGCACCCCAGGAGAGGTCTGGGGAGTAGCGCTATCGGTACCTTTGGTTTCCCCAGGTGCTGGCCACAGCCCGCCTGAGCTGCTGGCCAGGGAGGCATTCGGCGCGTGCCAGCCGACCAGCGGGGCAGGGCGTGGAGAAAATCTGGGGGACAAAAGACAGACACAAATCAACGTCGATACCCTGGAACATGTGGGAAGTCATATGTCTCCATCCCGCCTCCCTCGGCTTATGTCGGGCCTGTCCCTCTACAGGGGGAATATTCAAACATAGTCAACAATAGTCCGGTGACGATGCTTTGACCTTTTCTGAGTATCGTTGGTGTATTTCTGGAGTATGTTTAATCCTTCACCCAACATCCCCCTGTAGGGGGACAGGCCCGACCGAACCCTCGGCTGACGGAGAGCTCTTTCTGTCATCGGGGGTGCTTGCCCAGGGGCGGCCCGACAGGTTATGCCCCCGCTTGCCGCCGTGTGGGGCACGTGTGCACTCTCCAGACGCCCTGGGGCAGGCACCGCCGATGCTTTGCGGACAGCTCGTTTTTGCGCACTTCCTCCTCCTACTCCCGGTGGAGGCATCAGGAGGCCCTCGGAGGTCTCGGGAGGTCGCCCGAGGCCCCCGATCATTTTTGATGTCTCGGAGATCGACGTTCGATCCATGTCCTTTGCTGCTGGGTTATAGTTTGATCCATGCCGCCGCCCCGCCCCCCCTCGCGGGGTCGGGGTGTGAGCAGGGGCCGCTCGCCGAGCGTTCGATCCTCCAGCTCGGCGTCGCCCCGCCCACTGCCCCGCAACCGCCGCAGGGGGGGGAAGAGAAGCAGGGGGGAGGAAAAGGAGGAGGAGGAGCAGGAGGAGGAGGAGGGGGAGGGGGAGGAGGAGGAGGGGGGTGCGCGACCGCGGGGACGAGAGCCTGCGCCTTTCGCGCGCCAAGGGGGCTCGCTTTCGGGCCCGGGGGCAATCTTGGGCCCAACGCTTCGGGCCATGGCTTCTCGTCGCAGGCTTGCAGCTGCATCAGCAGCAGCAGCGTCGTCGACGCCATCATCACTGTCACCCCATGATCAGCATCATCAGCATCATCATCAGCATCACCACCATCGTCGCATCATCATCATCATCATCATCATCATCATCATCATCATCATCATCATCACCAGCATCACCATCATCGTCTTCACCATCGTATCATCATCATCATCATCATCATCATCATCATCATCATCATCATCACCATCACCATCACCATCACCATCACCATCATCATCATCGTCAACGGCACCATCGTCATCATCATCGTCCTCACCACCATCACCAGCACCATCACTATCACCATCATCATCATCACCACCATCATCAGTATCGCCATTCTTTCCATTACCATCATTATCATCACCATCATCATCACGATCATCGTCCGTATCCTTTTTGGCTCAATCGAAGTTGGCTCAAGTTTGAAAGACGAATCCCTGATACTTCGAGCTTTCTCGCAAGCGAAGGGGCTACTCGAAACTTGGATGCAGCTCCCCTTGCATTGCTTGCGTGTCCCTTCTCAAGCCTCTTCGGATCCCGATCTGCTCGGGGGCAAACTGGTCAAAGGCACGGATCACCCCGGTCGCGGCTCAGGTATGTGCGCATGTTTTCTACGTCAAGTTTTGGTTCAGGTCAGGTTTGACGAACCGCAGGCGAGCATTGCTCATATTGAGAAAGAGTTGGCCCCCTTCCGCTCGTATGCGAATAGCAGCCCTTCGGTGACAGCTGCGAAGATGATGTTGACCACAGCTCGACTAAGACATTCCTCGCCCTCGTCTCGGCTCTCTTGATTTTCTTTGGTTTCAATGATGGGTGCACTCGTTAGGCTTCGGACACCATGGATACGGTTAGGGAGAACGTCTCTGACGGCTTCGAGTACTCCACACCCCAAGGTTGCCGCGCGGTGCGTCTGAAGTCCCTGCGTGATGGTACAAGCAGCTGATTGTGATAGGTCGGATTCGCAGCAAGCTCGGCGCTATTGCCAGGATTCAGCCACCCCTTGCGAAACGGCCTATCGATTCGGCAATCGGCAGCCGATTCATCTTTGCAGTGAGGCTCTTCCACGTTGTCACACCTAGTTCGGTTCAGGAAGCTTCCCGCGTTACCTCGTTCGCCTGCCACTCCAAGGACCTCGGGGTCGAAGGCGAACAACAGGTGTTTTGTAACAAAGGCATAGGCCAGTTGCGCCTGTGACGGCCAGGCTCATGCTGCGGCTGGGTGGCTCACACAGGTTATTGTCTCTGTGTTGACTGCAGGTCGACCGCGACAGGCACTGCTCTATCCCAGGGTGCGCGGGGCATCGCTGTGTCGGTCAGGCGCTACCAGCTTGCCTGTATACAAAGTTAAAGACATCTCGGCGACCTGGCTGCCATCTACGGAGTGTCAGTATCATTTGCTGTTCTTGTTCCCGCTCCTTGGGGGTCCCCCTGGGCATGGGGTCTTGGTGTGCATTCTGGGCATGATTGTTCGGTGTTCGCTGGTTCGCTTTGCTCTGGTATCCTTGGCACCCTGTCGCTCTTATGCCGAATGTCGATGCTCGGATTGGACACTCGGTTTGCCACTTCCCTGTCGTCATTTCGGCTTCTGCCTCCCGCCCTGCCTCCCCTCGGCTCGCTCTTTGGACACGGGCAATCTAGCAGGGGCAACACCGACTTCTCAAACGCGTGGGGTACATGTGTGGTGTGTGGCCAGATCTTTTCAGCCGCAGGGTTGTGGGATCGACGGGTCTTACCACGAGTGCGTGTGTGGCCAGGGCCACGTTAGCATTGCATGAGGCGCATGCTGTGTTCCGGGAGCCGATGTGTTGTCGTGTGTCTGCCTATTCCCCGTGCGTTTCTCAATGTCCTGCGTCATGTTTTGCATGGTTTGATCACGGGTGTGCTGTCTGGTTTCGTTTCATTTTGCGCACCTGCAGTTACCATTTGTGCCCCCGTGGGTGTATGTGCACATTGCTGTATTGAGCTACAGTCGTCTGACCACCGAGGAAGAGGCTCTCGAATAGGCGTGGCTTCTCCCCCAGGGCGAACTGTTGCGCAAGCTTGCACGTGCACAACGCATTTGCGTCTGACTTAGGCGCGCGGATCGCATGTCGCAGCATGCGCTCACCCGAAGAACTCGGACCACTTCGTGCAATGGCAGGTGATCTGACTGCCGCGAAAATGGGCCACGCGACCGATTGCAGGCCGCTCGCGTTGAATTTTAGATGCTTTCGATTTCCTGGCGATGAGTGATATTTCGCCGCTGACGCACAGCTGTGCGGCAATGTGCTTGGTTCAAGTCAGGACCTTGTCGGGTAACACAAGAGCGTTTCGAGGTGAGAATCTTATATCAGGTGAGATGGTTTGGAATTGCCCGTGAGAAGGCATTTTGGACAGAGACATTGGATGACAGGAGTCATACCCAATTTGCAGATCAGGTTGGCACCTTGGCCGAGCAAATAAATCCAATGCTGGTCTTCAGTTGTCTGGTGATTGGCTCAGCCCGTTTGTTTGTTTTTCCCCCTCCCATTGTGTCCCCGCCCTTGCTTCCTGACCCCTTGGGTTCTCCTACGCTCTGGTTTGCTTGTTCGCTTCTCCCGGCTTCGCGATTGACCGCGCTGCGTCCCAGTCGTTTGTTATATTTGTGTCACTGCGCTTATTCTCTTCGCTGGTTCAAAACAAATCGCCGTCATCATTGCCATCCTCGTCAGCGCCGCCATCATGAGCAGCAGCGTTATCATCGTTCTCGTCGTTGCCCTCATCACCAGCATCGTCGTCGTCACCTTCGTCATCAGTGCGTCGTCGCCAGATCGCCCCTGCACCAGGGCGGGTCGCGGGGGGCTGTCCTTCCGGGCGCCCTTTTGGGTGCCCTTCGCCGCCCCAGCTGCGCGGCGGTGCTGGATCCCCCATGGGAGCTGCCATTCCTCCCCATTCCCCCCTCGGTTCTTGATCCTTCCGCCTTCGCCTCATCCTCCTTTTTTGCCTTGATCCTCAATCCCTCCTCCTCCCTCCTCGCCTAGATCCTCGATGTTTCCTCCCTCCCTGCAGAAGTCTCCTTCCTCCGCCCTCCTCGAGCCGCGATACTCCTGGGCCCCCCCTGGGTCTTCGATGATCGCTCTTCGACCCTTTCTGACACGAACACACCGATGGACTTCGATCCGCGAGACTCGAGGCACATCGATCGAGGATGTTCGACCGATCCTTGAGCATATCGCGATCTCGAAGATCGAGGGCTTCAGGATCCAGGATCGCAGACCGGCGGAGCGAGGATCAGGAGGAGGCGGAGGAGGACGACGAGGACGAGGACGAGGGCGAGGACGAGGAGGACGAGGACGGGGAGGACGAGGACGGGGACGGGGTCGAGGACGAGGACGAGGAAGACGAAGAAGAAGACGAAGAAGAAGAAGAAGAAAAACGATTCCGAAGGAAGACACGTGACTTCACCACAACGAGCACGAACAAACGAATCCGGGGCGGGTGGGCGCCTTCTCGACCCTCCTCCTTGGCCCTGACTTGGGCCCTCGGGGCCGCCACGCGGTCCTCGCAGGAGGGCAGCACGGCCCGGGGCGATGGGGGGGGGTCGGCTGGAGGCTCCCGCGGCGGCGCGGGTCCTGCCTGCGCCGCGGTGGAGCCACAAAAGGCGGCCCGAGGCGGAGGACCTCACGGAGTCTGCTGCCCCGTGCCGGGTCGGACCTCGGCCCTCGAGGAGGGGACGGCCCGATCTCAAGCGGACCTCGGCATCGGGCGGGGTCCTCAGGGCCTCTTCGGGCTAGCTGGAGGGAGCTCGGCACCTCTGCGAGGGGGGGGGGGCAGACGCGGGCCAGCTTCGCCCCACACTTCACGCACCGGAGCTGCTGAACACGTCTCCTCGCAAGGACCCCAGGGATGCCACATCCGCTCCCGACAACCGGACCCTGAACCGCAATCACTTGGTGACCCTTGGAGTCCCTGAGGAGCTTGAGGAGGAAAGGAGGGATACCTTTACAGCCATCTATCGGCGGCGAGGTCCCAGGAGAGGCAACTTCTAAACACTGATTGCACTGGAGCCCTACGTGACATTTACCCCAGTCAAGGAGACTGCTCGCACGCCTGACCTGGGAACGCCTGTCTCGAGGGAGCCTGGGCCAACCCCTTTCATTCTGGAAGCATGGGAGCACTGCAGCTGCTAGCTTGAAGAAACTATCTTCTCTGCTCTGGGCCAGCTCTACATATTTGAGAAAGCTGGG